GGTCATTGGCATCAGTTTGAAAAGTCTTCAATTCTAAGTAACTGAAAATCAAGTCACAACAGTTTAAACAACTCTTGATTTGTACTTATCACATGGTTGTGGGTTGAATTGTGTCCCCCAAAATGGTGAGTTCAAGGCCTACCCTCTGGTACCTGTGAATGTGAGTTTATTTGGAAATAGGAGCTTGGTAATCAAGTTAAGAGAAACCATACTAAATTAATGTGGCCCCTAATCCAATGAGTGGTGTCCTTTTAAGAAGAGGTAAATTCAGACACAGAGGAGACTCACAGAGAAGAGAGGTGACATGTGAACATGGAGGCAGAGACTGAAGTGATGCACCTACAAGGCAGATAATGCCAAGGATTGCCAATAACCATTAGAAGTTAGGAGACAGGCATGGAAGAGATCCTTCCCTAGAGCTTTCAAAGGGAGCATGGCCCTGCCAGCACCTTGATTTTGGACCTCTAACCTCCAGAACTGTGAAAGAATAAAAATTTCTGTTGTATTAAGCCACTCTGTTTGTGGTGCCAGAAGTGGGGTACTGCTACTGCTTTAACAAAAACCTAAAAATATAGATGTGGATTTTGAATTGGGGATGGCTTGAGGCTAGAAGAGTTTTGAGATTCATGATAGAAAAAGCCTAGGATGCCTTCAAGGGATTGTTGGTAGCAATATGGACATTAAAGGTGATGCCAGCAAGGGCTCAGAAGGAAGTGAAAAGGACAGTACAGAAATGTTCTATCGGGGCCGGCAGAGTGGCTCAGTTGGTTAATAGTGCGAGCTCTGAGCAACCGTGTCACCAGTACGATTCCCACAGTGAGCTGCACCCGAGCTGAGCTGCTGCTGAGCTGCCAACAGGTGGCAGGATGGCTCAGCTGTGAGAGCACGTGCTCCTAACAACAAGGTAGCCAGTTCGACTCCCACATGGGATGGTAGGCTATGCCCACCCACAACTAAGATTGAACACGGCACCTTGAGCTGAGTGGCTGGAAGCTGCCGTCAGGCGGCCAGATGGTGACTAGACTTGGAGCTGAGCTAGCTGCGCCTCCCACAGCTAAGATTGAAGGACAACAACTTGACTTGGAGCTGATGGGTCCTGGAAAAAACACAGTTACCCAACAAAAAAAAAAAAAAGAAGAATTCTTCTTTGTTCATTTCCCCTGGCCATTCTCCATGACACTTTTCAAACATCTTCACCATCATTCTTAATTTATAATATCAACAAAGATTGTCCTTGGCCTTAACCCATTCTGTAATTTTATAAAAAAGCAAGTGTTTTAGAGCTGGGCAACCATAGGTTCCTGGCTTGATTTTGCTATATACCAGTTTGGGGGCTTGGGCAAATTACTTAACTTTCAAAGACCTCAAGTTTCTTCATCTGTGAAATGGGGATGATACTACTTACCTCATAGTGTTATTGTCAACTCCCAATAAAATAGTATTCATAAAGTGTCTGGCCCATCATAGGTGTCTATGAAGTACAAATTCCCTTCTTTGGGGAAATCCCAGGGCATAATAGAAAGCGCTAAATATTCTGGTTGCAGAGCTCAGTCCTGCTGCTTACTGGCTGTGTATCTTTGGTCAGCTTATGATTCTCAGTGACCTCATTTGGAAAATGGGTATAATTATGATTGTCCTTATAGAATTATTAGGAATATTATATAAAATTTATATTAAGTATCCAGCTAGCACTTGGCATCTAGTAGGTGCTCAATAAAATAGTATTATTTTGGGAAATAATAATGTACTACAGTGTTTTTCCTGCTTTACATGATCTATAAGCATTACTTATTATCCCTTAAGTCCCTAATATTATTTTTAAGGGTTGAATTGATTTTGGTGGAACTTAAATTTCCTTTTTCACATCCTGAAAACAATCCCGAATTATCTATGAATGTATCATTTATACGGAAGCTTCCCTGTGTAACATTAGCATTCCACCTTAGGAACTCCCTGAAGAACTGGAATTCAGAACGAATCTCTCAGACACAGACCTCCATCCCCTCCCTGCCTCAAAAGGGCAGCCTTTTCAGGCTGTCTCTGCTCAGAATGCCAGGAAAGGCCACAGTCTTGGCCTACCATGCTCCCAAAGAACAAGAAGGACTTATAACTGTGAAGGTTGAAGAAGAGAATTCTGTTTGGGGACAGGACTTTGGCCTTCAGGGAAACGCCTGTAGCCAGGAGACCTCCCGCCAGCGGTTCAGGCAGTTTGGCTACTCTGACCCTGCTGGGCTCCGGGAGCTTTGCTGTCAGTGGCTGAGGCCGGAGGTGTACACCAAGAAGCAGATCCTGGAGTTGCTGGTGCTGGAGCAGTTCCTGGCCATCCTGCCAGAGGAGCTGCAGGCCTGGCTGTGAGTGCACCAACCAAAGAATGGAGAGGAAGCTGTGACTATGCTGGGGGAGCTGGAGAAAGGGTTCCATGAACCAAGGCAGCAGGTAGGAAGTAGGTGCTTTTGTTTGCTTGTTTTACCTGTTGTAAGTTAATGGGGAAGCCTTTGTGAGTGGCCTTGATTTGGCTATCAGAGAATGATACAATTTTTGTATTTTGGGTTATAATTTGTCCACTGGGATCAAGTCATTAGGGCTTTTAGTCCTGTTGTTTTCTATCTAATCATCTGAATGAGTTTCTGACTCCAGCTGCCCTGCCGTGTTATTCTAGGGGTCTTCTCTTGTACATCCTTTGAATTATAGTCCTGGTACTTGATTACTCCTAGGACACAGCTCATAGCCAGGGAATGATCTGGAAGGAAATGACATCCATGGGAGCACTGAAGTCTCTGAGAATCCAGCTCCAGCCCTTGGAGAATCAGTGTACGAGGGAGTCCCAGGCTTTTCATGAGAGAGGTGAGGAGCCACGGTCCGTGTAGGGGTGAGGGTGGAGGCGAGGGCTCCTATTTGAGGCATGGTTTATTTTTTTAATGACAGCTACTTGTGGCTGTCATTAGTATTGACTAAAAATGTTCTTCCATTGGCTCTGCCTAGAATCTGAAATGCCAATACAATTTCTAACTTTGGGTTAAGAATTATTAAGGTCTCTAATTAAATTCTCTAATAACATCCATAATATTCAAAGACCAGTATTCTGTTTTTTTTACTATTATGGTCCCACTGGCAAGACAGTCCCTAAGATAGAGATGAATAATGTATCAGTAACAGAAACCACATAGTAACCTGAACAGGGAAAGTTTAATATTACAAATTATTAACTATAGTAGAGGATTAATTACTAAGTGGTTAAAAAAAAACTCTACGGAATACAGGAATAACACAAATAGGGAATTTCTGGGGCTGAATCAGAGCACCCAAGGAAGGAACAAATCTGTGATAGGTTGCCGTATCTTCCCCTGCCTCTGCCAGAGCTGAGATCCAGATCTTGTTGGAGATGGATGGAGATGTTCACTGAAGTGCTGCGTTGGTAGAACTTTCTGGGAAGCTCCTCTTTGGGGTACCAAGGGAAGCCATTTATGGGGTGCAGGGTGGGGGAGGATGTGTGTTTGGTGGTGAAGAACTTTCTGAGAAGCTACTGTCTGGGGTGCCAGGTGCTGCCTCGTGGGAGGCACAATGTCATGGAACTTGCTGGGAAGCTACCCATAAGGATGGTGCCTCTGAACTAATTGGAGGCGAGCACTTCTGGGTGCCCCACGTGCTTCAGGAACAAACAGAGCACCCCAGAACCAAGAAGGAAAGCCCCTTCCTTCTCTAGTGTCCCTTCTGTCCCCCTCTACTATTAAAGCTCACACCATGTCAGCTGGCCAAGGAAAAATGTTCCAGTATCACAGGCAGGGCATTGAAGGGGGTTTGAAGCTGAGAGGCAATACATTGATAGCTGGCACAGATGTCAAGGATTAGAACCAAAACGACTTTGGTTATGTTATTGGCAAAATCATCCTTATGGACTGCAGATACATCAAGCTTATTAACTTGTTCTCATTGAACTTTTGTCACATCCAACTATCCTTCTAGTTTCATCTTCACTAAACAATCTTATTAACTTCCCATGGCTTAGCTACAGTAAGAAAATACATTAGTTCAGTCTGGTCTGTGTGATGGTTACATTACTCATTAATTTTCAATCTGGTTTTACTGCTCAGTTTCATGAGCGTGGCTAATGAGAGTCTACCCCAAGAGGTAAATCTGTTTATTATGATGATAAAATTAGGTTTATGAGGCCACAAGGTCAAGGGCCAGACCGTGGATCTTGGCAATTCACCAAAGGAATCCATATAGCTATACCCTGAGGCCTTCTGGGAAACTCTCTCAGCCTTCCCCGACACGCCATTAGCCAAGTGAGCCTGCTTAGATATCTCTGCATCAAGTAGGAGCTACAGTAAAATGAATTTTTAAAAACCATCTCTTCAAGTCCCCTGCATTAAAGCAGGTGTTTGTCTAAATTATTATGGTGGATTATTTCTACTTCCTTCTTTTAAGGTCTTGAGGAACAGAGGTTCTGCTGTAATTTCTTAAGTCTTTCTTGGGCTTTTTCATATTGATATTTGTTATGGGCTGAATTATGTCACTCCAAATTCATATGTTGAAGCCCTAACCCCGAGTACCTCAGAACCGAATGTGGCTGAATTAGGAGATAAGGCTTCTAAAGCAGTAATTAACTTAAAATGGGTTTGTTAGGGTGAGCCCTAATCCAATATGACTGGCGTCCTTATAAGAAGAGATTGGCACACAAACAACACAGACCAAGGGACAGCCATGAAAGGACACAGTGAGAAGAAGGTGACCAGCCGCAAGCCAAGGAGAGACAGGCCTCAGAATAAACTAAACCTTCTGACACCTTAATCTTAGACTTCCAGACTTCAGAATTGTGAGAAAATAAATTTCTGTGGGTTAAGCCACCCAGTCTGTGGTATTTTGTCATGGCTGTCCTAGCAAAATAGTACATGATGAGACAAGTAAAGAGTTAACGGGAGTGGGCTTGTGAGCTGGCAGGATGGGACAGGCAAAGGGTTAACAGGAGCGAGCTTGTA